GATCACTATATTGAGAACGATGTTGTCGTGCGCAACATGTGGGTCGCTTCCTTGAAGGTTAAGGTCACAGCATGACCTTGCAGGAAAATTGTGTCCAGCCCATAACTTCGCTATTTGAAGTTGGATTTAAAAATATTTCACAGAAATGATCATCATATTAAGATGACGTGTCACGAACAACATTTAATAAAGCTACCTTGAAGGTCAAGGTCACAGCATGACCTTGCAGCAAATCGTGTCCGGCCCATAACTTCCTTATTTGTAGTCAGATTTTGAAACTATTTCACAGAAAATGATCACCATATTAAAAATGGTGTGTCGTGCGCAACATTTGGCTCGCTACCTTGAAGGTCAAGGTCACAGCATGACCTTGCAGCAAAATTGTGTCCGGCACAGAACTTCATTATTTGAAGTCGGATTTTACAACTATTCCACAGAAATGATCACCACAATGAGACATTGTGTCGCGCGCATCATTTGGGTCGCTACCTTGAAGGTCAAGGTCACAGTATGACCTTGCAGCAAAATCGTGTCCGGCCCATAACTTTGTTACTGGAAACTTCAAAGGCAGATGGATCTCATTGAGGAGGAGTGCAGTGCTTAAGAATGATAACTCTACCCTGCATTATTTTTGAGTTATTGCCCTTTGTTATTTTTCAAAATTAATTTTTGTCCAGAGCATAACTCAAAAAGCCTTTGAGATATCAAAATGAAACTTCATAGGTGCATAGATCTCACTCAGGAGGTGTGCACTGCACAAGAATGATAACTCTTCCTTTCATAATTTTTGATTTATTGCCCTTTGTTATTTTTCATACTTAATATTTCAATTCAATTTTTTTCTCAAAAAGTATTTGAGGTATCAACTTGAAACTTCATAGGTGGATAGATTTTACTGAGGAGGGATGCAGCACACAAGAATGATAACCTACCCTGCATTATTTTTCAGTTATTGCCCTTTGTTATTTTCAGCCATCAGTATTCACATAGGTTTCAAATCTGTAATCACTATAGCCATCAGTTTTCATTACCAAAAGACCTCTTAAAATGAAATTATTCTGTTCTACTACATATACATTCTTGCAATGAGCAAACACATTCGGCGGGGGATGGCCATGTTGACATGGCTCTTGTTATTTCTTGGTGTATTGTCTTCATACTTGACCACAACAACCCTTGGGACAAGACCTTTCAGTAGACCACACTAACCTTGACCTTCATCCATAAATGACCTTGACCTTCAAGGTTAAAAGTCCAATTTTTGCTTGTTCATGCTGTTATTGGCTGTAACTTTGTTATTTTTGAATGGATTGTCTTCAAACTTGAACATAATAATCTTCAAGGATATCCCTTAAAAATAACCAGCCAGACCTTGACCTTAACTCATAAATGACCATGACTTTGAAGGTCAAATTATTGAAATTTTCATTTTTTTGGCTATTATTGGCTGTAACTTTGTTATTTTTGAATGGATTGTCTTCAAACTTGAACATAATTATCTTCAGGGATATCCCTTAAAAATAACTAGACAGACCTTGACCTTCACTCATAAATGACCTTGACTTTGAAGGTCAAATTATTGAAATATTCATTTTTTTGGCTATTATTGGCTGTAACTTTGTTATTTTTGAATGGATTGTCTTGAAACTTGAACATAATAATCTTCAAAGATAACTGTTAAAAATATACCGAAAGACCTTGACCTTCACTCATTAATGACATTGTCTTTGAAGGTCAAATTATTGAAATTTTCATTGTTTTGGCGGTAACTGATTTGATGCTATTATTGAAGGAATCAACTTCATATTATAACAGAACATTCTTAAGGACCAGACCTTGTTGTTTATCAAACCCAAATTTGCTTGTGCTCTTTAATGACCTTGACCTTGAAGGTTAAATTACTGAATTTTCTCAGATTTGTGCATTAAATGACCATAATTATATATTTATTGGTGTGTGTGTGTATATATAGAAAATATAAATATATATATTGCGACGCGAGCACGGGGCTCTATTTATCATATGTTAGTTGTAGATTCTACTTTTTACTTAGTTTGTTGAATTTATATTTTTATAGGGGGTTTTGTAGATGCTGTACTCGCGTCGGCCGTCACTAGACGGTTTATAAAAATGGGCGGGGAAAATCTCTCTAAATGGTAGCGGACTTATTCTAATCAAGGATGATGTTTATGTTGTTCTCTGTGTAGTTCTATAATCTCGAGTGATGATTGTTGATGTAGAAATTCAGACGAATCTCTCTATGGTTGATGACGGTGACTTAAAATAAATGTCACCGGCTGGAGAGTCGTAGTTTAACACAATAATTACACTATCGATAAACAGTTCAAATAATTTATTTAAGTAACAATTATATTAAGAATTAAAAGGTGCAACAATTCATCAATAATATTTAAAGATTGACTACTACGCGGACTGTCAGACCTCGAAATAAAAGCAAAGTTTAAAAGTTGAATAGATCTATTTTGGAATAAATGTCCCAAAAAGCTGGACATAAAAATTTACGCAAAGATCTAAACTATTTAAATGTGATATAATTTAATTAACTTTACCTCAAATTCAGAAATTTAATTATTTAAGAATATTTTTAAAGAGAGATGAAACAATGCCTTTGCTCATAAGAAAATCTAGAAGACGACTGCTGATTTTGGGCGTTCCGAGCCGATAGCGCGCATGTGCAGTCACCGTGTCCGAGCTGATGCTCATGCGCATTACATGTAAATGAGCCGAAGATGAGCCGATATACATGTACAATGCATGTTAGGGAGCCGGGACAGAGCCGCTGCACATGCGCGGTGTAAATAAAAGAGCCGGTAATACAATCCGCATAATAATACAAATCCGACTATTAAACAATGACGGAGATTAAACAAACGCATGCGCAAACAATACAAAGATGAAAATGAAAGTTAATTGATATCAACAGACACGAAATCAGCAAAATACATCTATTCCACGCGATGACAGTCGTAAGCAGTCATGTTTAATAAAAAGGTTCAATGAATACTTACTATAGATAATTGTATTTCCCCATGTAGGATGTTTCATGTATACAAAAATAGATCGAAAATACTTCCATAAAAATAACCGTAAATTGATGTCGTAGAAATTGTATAATTAGAGTATTGCATAGAAACATGAACCCTCAGATGTCACACTGCTCCCCCCACAAAAAAAAATAGTTCGTCCGCGAACTAGTACTAGTAGTCAATAACATACAGTTTTACAAGATATTCATACAAGTTATACAATAGACATTCAATAAAATAAGCACCTTTTTTATATTTAACAAATAACATATAAGTATAATAACAATATTAACTTTTGATACTAAACTTTAGAATTGTGAAACAATTAAAATCTTAACAATACTTAACAATTATTAAACTCTTTAACTTTACATTAAATATTATTTTCAATTATTCACTGATCACTTAATAAATGTTCATTCAGTTTAAATACTATCCATTCAGTAAAGTCATGTTTATTGCAATACAACAATGGAATATAATTATATTTAAAAAAAAAAAATCACTGTTCACTGTTTATAAATAATCAAACACTATAACTTTTCATAGTTATAGTTTATAAATAATCACGTACTATATCACTGTTCATACTTAATAAATAATCATGTACTATATCACTGTTCATACTTAATAAATAATCACGCACTATATCACTGTTCATACTTAATAAATAATCACGTACTATATCACTGTTCATACTTAATAAATAATCACTTACTATATCACTGTTCATACTTAATAAATAATCACGCACTATATCACTGTTCATACTTAATAAATAATCACGTACTACATCACTGTTCATACTTAATAAATAATCACAACTTCATCTTAAAATGTTCATATTTCATGTTTGTTTTTGTGTTATTCCTGTTAATGTTCATCAATGTTTATTTATTTTCCTATTGTTTATGTACACTTGTATTACTCATGATCCTTCTTCAAATGTTTAATAATGTTCTTTCTGTTCATGTTTTCTTTTATTAACCAGGTTTTTTTTCCGAAGGAAAAAACTGGTTATTAGATTGAGGTATGTCGGCGGGCGGGCGGCGGGCGGTGGGCGGACGGGCGGGCGGGCGTAAAACAATTTCTTCTGTGCGCAACTCCTCCTACATTTCTCAACAGATTTTGACCAAACTTTCACAGAAGCTTTGTCATCAAGTGCCCTGGCGCATATTGTCGGGGTTTTGCGATTAGATAATATTTGACCTAATTATGGCCCTTTGTTTTTTTTCATTATATAGAATATATAGTGAACAATTTCTTCTGTGCGCAACTCCTACATTTCTCAACGGATTTTGACCAAACTTTCACAGAAGCTTTGTCATCAAGAGCCCTGACGCATATTGTCAGGGTTTTGCAATTGGTATATATTTGACCTAATTATGGCCCTTTGTTTTTTTTCATTATATAGAATATATAGTGAACAATTTCTTCTGTGCGCAACTCCTCCTACATTTCTCAACGGATTTTGACCAAACTTTCACAGAAGCTTTGTCATCAAGTGCCCTGGCGCATATTGTCGGGTTTTGTGATTAGATAATATTTGACCTAATTATGGCCCTTTGTTTTTTTTTCCTTATATAGAATATATAGTGAACAATTTCTACAGTGCGCAATTCTCCTACATTTCTCAACGGATTTTGACCAAACTTTCACAGAAGCTTTGTCATCAAGTGCCCTGGCGCATATTGTCAGGGTTTTGTGATTGGATAATATTTGACCTTATTATGGCCCTTTGTTTTTTTTCCTTATACAGAATTGAACAAATTCTTCTGTGCTGAACTCTTCCTACATTTCTCAACGGATTTTGTTCAAACTTTCACAGAAGCTTTGTCATCAAGTGCCCTAGCACATATTGTCGGGGTTTTGTGATTGGATAATTTTTTACCTAATTATGGCCCTTTGTTTTTTTTCCTTATACAGAATATATATAGTGAACACTTCTTCTGTGCGCAATTCCTCCTACATTATTCATGTTTTACATTGCACATAGTTACATTGTTTGTTGCTTGTATTTGTATTTCAAATACAACATATTTATCTACAATGGTGATAATTGAAAACCTGGTTTCATGGCATTGCCATGTTTCTTGTTTATTTTTTTACTTAAGTTCTTCTCAATGCTCAATGTTCAATAATGTTCTTTCCGTTATTAATTAAAATAAATAATCAAGTTCATCTGTTTCTTCTTCGAATGGGTATCTGCCACAGTGCTTACAGACTACATTGCAGGTTTGCGTTGACTTTGGTCGTAAGAAGTATTCCATAGGTTTCGGTGTGATAAATGTTTCTAGCATATATTGATCTCCTGATTCTAGTAATACTGATTCTTTCTTTATAACGGTACTCCCTTTGTATGTATAATTCACGTTTCCTTTATCCACGCCAAGTTGTAACGCATTTATCCTATGATTTTTTATTAATTGAGCATTTGGTGTGTTGATATATGCTGAGGGAGCACCTTTAAGATAAGTTCTGGGATCATGCATGATAGTATCTGTTTCAGGTTTAAGTGGTATGTCTTTGATTCTTATAAGTCGGTAATCATCTGTTGTCATTTCTGTGGTTGTTTCTGTTGTTTCTACTGTTGTGTCTGTGGTTTGTTGTTTTCCTTCAATTCTATCCTTAAGTTGTTGTTGTTTCTGTTGTTGTTTTTCTTCTTCTTCTTGTTTTTCTTTCAATAATTTTTCTTCTTGGCATTTCAGTTGTTTTAACTCTTCTTTTAATTCAATGTGTCTTTTAAGTAAATCTTGTGTCTCCTGTTCATTTTCTTGTTCAGTTTCTTGTTCATTAATTTTCTTCTCCTGTATGTTTAGTTCTTTTTCCATTTGTTGCTTTTGAAATTCACTAATGTCATTTAAAAGTTCTTCTAGTTCGTTATGTACATTTTCGTCTGTTACCATAAATTCATTTATTTCATCATTTTCTGTGTTGTTGTTGTTGTTGTTGTTGTCTAATGTTGTAGTTGTGTTGATAGCTAGCTGATTCTCAAATGGTTTAATACTATTGATTGAAGTGCTGTATGTAGGCATGTTTGTTTCACTACGATCAAATGGTTTGTCTGCATCTTCTTCAAGTAAGATACCAAAATCTGGTGGTGACAGTAAGTCCTGTTCAAAGTGATTGTTAGATTTCTGTGTTTGTTGACAAGATGTTGTTGATATATTCTTTACTTTATTTTGCTGGATGTGAGGTGTGGAATCTAATTTATCTTTATTCTCTTCTTTAAATGGTGTGATGTTTTGATTCTGATTTATTTTTATATGCCCGAAAGGGCATATTATGTTATACCCCCTGGCGTCCGTCTGTCTGTCTGTCCGTCCGTCCGTCCGTCCGTACGTCCGTCCGTCCGTTAGCAATTTGGTTTCCGGAGCATAACTTAAGTTCCATTTGGCCCACAATGTTCAAACTTCATAGGATGATTGTCCATATTGGATAGAAGACCCCTATTGATTTTGGGGTCAAAGGTCAAAGGTCAAGGTCACTATGACCTTAAAACTGAAAACAGTTTCCGGAGCATAACTTAAGTTCCATTCGACCCACAATGTTCAAACTTCATAGGATGATTGTCCATATTGGGTTGAAGACCCCTATTGATTTTGGGGTCAAAAGGTCAAAGGTCAAGGTCACTATTACCTTGATACTGAAAACAGTTTCCGGAGCATAACTTAAGTTCCAATCAACCCACAATGTTCAAACTTGATAGGATGATTGTCCATATTGGGTTGAAGACCCCTATTGATTTTGGGGTCAAAAGGTCAAAGGTCAAGGTCACTATGACCTTGATACTGGAAACAGTTTCCGGAGCATAACTTAAGTTCCATTCGACCCACAATGTTCAAACTTCATAGGATGATTGTCCATATTGGGTTGAAGACCCCTATTGATTTTGGGGTCAAAAGGTCAAAGGTCAAGGTCACTATTACCTTGATACTGGAAACAGTTTCCGGAGCATAACTTAAGTTCCATTCGGCCCACAATATTCAAACTTCATAGGATGATTGGCCATATTGGGTAGAAGACCCCTATTGATTTTGGGGTCACAAGGTCAAAGTCACTTTTACCTTAATACTGAAAACAGTTTCTAGAGCATAATCAAAGTTCCAATTGGCCCACAATATTCAAACTTCTTAGGATGATTGTCCATATAAGGTAGAAGACCCCTATTGATTTTGGGGTCACAAGGTTAAGGTCATTATAAATAACTTAAGTATTAATCAACCTACAGCTGTAAAATTTTATAGGATGAACAGCGAATTCCCATGTCTTACAAATGCTTCATCCTTGCTTAAAAAAAACACTTTCGGGCATATAATGCTCCGCCTAGCGGTGCTCTTGTTAATACTTTGTTGTGGCTTTGTTGTTGATACTCTCTGTGGTAAGGTGACATTCTATTCTTTGTTCTTTCTCTATTTTCTTTATTTTGGATCTTCTGTTTCCTTTCTCCTCTTTTGCATGTTTCTTCGTGACGTTTCAGATTACTCGGCCTACAGACAGGGAAGGTCACGCCACACTTAAACCTACACATAACAAAAGTCTCATGTCTATCTTCCCTATGTCTTCTATACTGATCTTCTCTATCATACCCGATGCAGCACTCCCTACATACATATGCACACAGAAGGTATTTCTTTAATGGTACTTTCTTATTTGGTGGAGGAGCTGAAGATGACATCCTATAATATAAATGTAAACAAATCTATTACATTTTGGTAACAACTGGTTTCAGACGATTATGGTGAACAATCTGAATTTTATTTTTCAATTTAATTTTATAGTTGAGGTCTGACAGTTTTTCAATTATGACATATGGACCTAGCCATCGATTTTCTAATTTCGGGGTTCTACCTTTAACTTTTGTTTCATTGGTCAACCATACACTATCGCCTATGTTGTATGCATTTGTATGAACGCGATGATCGTAATGTTTCTTTTGTCTGTCGGATGCGAGCCCTAAATGACGACGAGCAATTTCATGTATATTATACATAATTGTTTGTTTTTGCTTGACATAATGACTTGGTGATTCATAATGTTCTATCGGTATACATGCACCAAAAACTAGGTCAGTAGGTAATATAGGTTCATGATAAAGTAACATTCGACTAGGGGAATACCCTGTTGATTCTTGTACAGCACTTCTATATGCTAAAAGGAGAAAAGGTATATGAGTATCCCAATCACGTTGATTGGTTTTTACTATTTTTGCTAACATATCGGCTAATGTTTTAAAATCTCTTTCACACAAGCCATTGGTCTGGGGATGAAATGGTGAACAACAGGTCTTATCTATACCTAATTTGTTGCAGAGTTCCTGAAATAAATGAGATTCAAATTGTCTTCCTTGATCAGTTACTATCTGTCTGGGAACACCGAAACGACTAGTAAACTCTGAAATAAAAATATCAGTACAAGTAGTGGCTAACATGTTTGGCATTGGATACAATTCTACCCATTTTGTAAAATAGTCAACGACTCCCAAGGATGAATCTGTTATTATTATCTGAAGTAGGTAATGGTCCAAAAATATCTAAGCCGACTCTTTCTAGTGGGCAACCTACTTGATATTGTTTCATGCTCGCTTTTGCACGAGTTTGTGGAGGTTTTCGGGACTGACATGTTTCACATGAATTGCACCAAAGTTCTACATCATTGCTACAATTAACCCAATAAAATAATCTTTGAAGTTTCATCTTTGACTTGGTGATACCAAGATGGGCTGCTGTTTTGTGGTTATGTATTAAATATAACACATTATTTCTGTAGTTTTTACGTACTATAAACTGCCAGTAATGTGTACCATCATTATTACTCCATTTTCTATATATTAGTCTGTTATGAAGTACAATACTATCCCATTGTGACCAGTATCTCTTAACTTCTGAATTTAAGTGTGAAATTTCAGTCCATGCAGGTCTTGCGTTTTCTGTTTTCCACTGTAGTATAAGTTTGAGTTCTGGATCATTGTTGACTTCTTGTTGTAACTCTTCTATCTGTATTGGTTTTATCCAGCTTTCTGTTAGTTCGACTGAAGTCATAAAGTGTAATGCTTCATTATTCTCTGGGATTTCGTGTGTAATACTTCTGCAGGTCTCTTTCTTGGTCTCTTCTCTTGATGATTGCTCACGTTTTTCACAGTAGTTACAGGGGTCACAAGGTCTCCTTGAGAGGCCATCACAATTACCATGTTTCGCTCCACTTCGATGAGAAATTTCAAAATCATATGAACCTAATGTTTCTAGCCATCTGGCTAATTGACCGCTTGATAACTTCATATTCATGAGCCAGGTTATAGCTGCATGGTCTGTTCTTATCTTAAAAGACACACCATACACATAGTGATGAAAATATTTAACTGCTTCTACAACTGCAAGTAGTTCTCTTCTAGTTGTACAATATTTGATCTCTTGTTTGTTTAATGTCCTACTAAAATAGCCTATTACTTTCTCTACATTGTTCTGTATTTGGGAGCATACTGCTCCAATTGCAGTTGAGCTTGCATCAGAATCTATAATGTACTTGTCTTTAGTATTTGGATAACCTAGAATGGGAGCTGTTGTTAAAGCCTCTTTTAATTTTAGAAATGCTCTCATGCATTCATCTGTCCAAATGAAAGGGGCATCTCTGTCAGTCAATTTGTGTAAAGGGCGTGCAATTTGAGCAAAGGATTTGATAAATGAACGATAATATCCAGCTGTTCCTAGAAAAGCTCTTGTTTCTGTCACATTTTTCGGTACTGGCCATTTTGTTATTGCCTCTATCTTGTTTTGTTCTGTTTGAACTCCTTCTTCTGATACAGTGTGACCTAAGAAATTTACTTTTATCTGAAATAGGAAACATTTGTTTGGTGCTACTTTCAATTTAGCTTCTTGAAGTTTTTGAAGTGTCAATTCTAACCTGTACAGGTGATCTTCAAATGTTTGTGCATATACTATCAAATCATCTAGGTAGATTAGGAGGATTTCATATTGTAAGTCAGACATTATTAACTCCATAAGACGTTGGTAGGTACTAGCACTGTTGCACATTCCCATAGGCATTACTTTGAAGGCAAACTGTCCTTTGTGACACACAAAAGAAGTCTTGTCTTTATCATCTGGGTGCATCTGTACTTGATAATAGCCAGATGTGCAATCTAAAGTAGAAAACCATTTTGCTCCTTGTAAAGAGTCTAAACAATCACGAGTTCGTGGTAATGGGTAAGAATCTTTTAAAGTTACAGCATTTATTTTTCTGAAATCAACGCATAGTCTTATCTCCCCTGATTTCTTCTTAACAGGTACTATTGGACTACTCCAAGGACCAGAACTAGGCTCTATTAAATCAGCATCAATCATACGCTGAATTTCTTTTTCTACACCTTCACGCATACTTATAGGAACTCTTCTAGGTTGTTGCTTAATTGGTGGTGCTAGCCCAGTGTTCACTCTATGCTGTATTCTATCTGTTTGACCAAGATCAGTTTTTGACCTTGAAAAGACATCTTGATATTTTATCAATAACTTTTTAACTTCTGTTAATTGGTCTTTAGTAAGATTTGGCTTACAAACTTCATATACTGTTTTTAAATGATCAGGTATCTCTTGTATGATAGATGATTCTCCAATATTGAAAATACTGTGACAGGATTCTTTGATTTCATCTGGTTGTATTACCTCAACAGGTTCAACTTGACAAGCTTTTGTACTTTTATACAATTTGATTGGTTTATCAGTAATGTTCAGTACTCTGACTGGTATAAAATCATCATGAAGGTTGACTAGGGTTTTTCCAATTAAAACACCTTGTTTTTGCCACACATCATTTAATGCTTCTATCATACCTGTGTTGAAATTAATAGGTTGATTTTCTAACATACATTTAACAATTAGCTCACTATCAGGAGGTACCATTGTATCTTGTGCTAACTGTATTTTATATACTGATGGTGCTTTGTTCTGTAATTTGCAGATTACTTTTTCTCCCTGTAACAGAATAGATGGACCTATAATGTCCAACTGAGCTTTATTTTCATGTAGAAAATCTAATCCAATTACCATAGGTACTTCAACATCTGCAATAACAGTCTTTTGTCTATAATTGTGTTGTCCTATTAAAATATCTAGGTCAATTATACCATCAGTTTGAATAGGTTTACCATCTGCTGACTTTAAGTTGGAATGACCATCTCTTTTTGATGACAAATTATATTTTTGGGCCAATTTTGAATATAAACTTGGCTGTATAATAGTGCAAGTGGAACCAGTATCAACTAGTGCTTCTAATATTGTGTCAAAATTTTTTTTCCCCAGTCAATACTTTTCCATTAAAATTTTGGGGGGTCTTTTTGAAACTAAGTGCTGTATTTTTGCCCCTTTCAGTTACAGCCTTTTGAATTTTTTTTTGATATTTAGGGGGTTTT